TATTCAAAAATCTAAAAGTTAGAATAACATAATTAATACAAGATAATACAAAAATGATACATAAGTCAAAAAATTCGAAAACATATTTATCTAATCTTTAAAAGATTGGCACAAATTAATCTCTAAAAATAATTTACGAAACGAATTTACGAACACGTTCACGACATCAAACGTTGAACAATAATACGATGTCCGATTAAAGAGGATTTATTTCTTCTTGCCGTGTAACGTGAAATCACATATAAGCACATTGTATTCCCTATACCTCACGTACGTTCGATATAGGTCGAGCTCTCCTGTGTGTTCACGTGTATTCTAATATTTCGCATGCGAACGCTAAATCACGTATCGATTAGAACGATCCGTTGTAGGCAGAACACGGTTTTCTATAGTCTCGTTCTAATTAAACGTCGCATGTTGTATTATGTTCGACACGCGACATGTCCTGTTTGTGAAATACGATATTTTATTCATTACGGTACTATAGAAATTTTCTTGTGACAAGTTTGGAAAAAATATTCAAATATATCATTAATAATTAATTTTCATTCATTCATTTGAAAAATCATCGAAACGAGAAATTCATATTAAAAAAAAAAAAGATATATTTAAAAAGTCTCGATTCTAGGAGGTCAGAACAAATGCAAAAATTGATGTGCAAAGATATCGATTCACATTTAACGAGTGAGCATTATAAGCAATTGAGGTTTACCTTAGACGAAGATAAATACACTAAGATAAAGTGAGATAGCTTTATCTTCGTTGCACTGCCACTACGCGGCGCTCGCGTTGTTATTCCATCTTCGTCTCCCTTTGTCTAAAACGAACTTAAACCGCGTATAATTTAATAAATAAACTTGAATCGATATTTTTGCATCATTAACGACTTATATTTTATTTATTTTAATCTCCATCGAATCGATTCTCCAGAGATATTCTCGACTATATTAACATCTTACTCATATACATATATCGAAACTTATTTAATATAATTTTATATTATATTTTATAAAAAAAAAGAAATAACGTCACAATAAATCTTCACGAAATAACCCTTTTTCTATCTAACATTTATCGCGAGACGATCCACTTATAAGATAATTATTCGACAAATTTACCGGCAAACGAATAGAGGTCACCACTCTCGCGAAATTACCCCGCCGAGAGATTTGAAAGAATGATCATCCCATTTCCGAACGGCGCAAATTCCGGGAGAGTGGCGCGCGCGGGGGGCATGGCTGATACGCTTTAAACTTTCAGAATCTCGTTAACTCGACACGGTATCCATCTACGCGCCGGGATTCGCGCGGATCCGCTCGCGGCGCGCGCGTGTTGGAATTGCGCCCTCGCAGGAAATTCGTAATTCGGTCGTGTGATCACGCGGGCTTGTTTAATTGAAATATACGCCAACAAAATTGCCCGTCTCTCTTCCCGTCCTATGAAGCACGATTTAATCTCATTGCCGCCACTAGTCTCGTATTATCCGCGTAACGAGCCGTCGAATGAAACAATTTCGTTTCGCCAAGATGGAATCGCTCCGGGCTTCCTCGCACGCCTCCATATTGAATTTCGTTTAGATGGTGAGAATATACATCTTGTTTGTCGTAGCGCCAGAATGGATATCGATGAGTCGATCAGTCATTATTTTTCGAGAATTATAGAGAAGTTGAAATTCGAAGGATTCGAAAAGTGTACATTTATCAAAAATTTGTATAGATTTATTAACAGATATATATATACGTTTTCCTGACATAAGATTATAGAGAAGTTGAAATTCGAAAGATTCGAAAAATATACATTTTTCAAAAATTTGTATAGATTTCTATAGATATATATATACGTTTTACACTAACACGAAACGTGGCCAATTAACTATCTTAATTATCTTCAATTATTTACTACTAAACGACGAATTACTTTGATTAATAATTAATTATATTTTTAAATAAATTTTCGAGTCTTGAACGATACATTTAACATTTTATTTGTATAATAATATAATAATTTTCTTCTCCCATAATTCCACGAACATATTTCTCTTATTTATTTATCATTTCAATTTATCATAAAAAAAAGTACGATCTTTTCTTAACGACATGTTAAGAAAAAAATAAATAAATTAATTGCGCCAAATTGCGTTCGAATGACACGCTCGTTCACGAAAGATTATTCGCATGTTTCGGAGGCATAGAAATTTTCAGAATGCAGCAGACCGCATCGATAGATCGTAACGGTACACGACGCTCGCGCTGTGAATACGCGTGCACCTCGTATCTTTTGTTTTCCAATTCCGAAACGTGGCCATTCTAATGCCCGATTACGAGCGAAGATTGCGTTCGTGCTACTCTTTCGCTCTTCCTTTCCTTTTTTTTTTTTTTCAATCGATGTTACTACCATTACCACGTCGAATCTCGTTCGCCGGAACACGGCACGCGGCCAAACATGTTCCAGAACGTGTGCCCATGCTTATTTGGAAACCGTTCGTTCGCCTTGAACTCGCGATAACGAGCGTTAAACGCGTTCTCGAAAGTTTTACCGTAATTCGTTCTGGTTAACGATTCTTGGGAACGGATCGTCAAGGTCGTTTAACATAAGAAATTTCGCTTAAAGAGCGAACTTAATAACGAAATTTAATACGCGATTCGAAGGTCGTTTAACTCGTGGAATTTGATATACATTCCTGTAATTCCGCGTGTGGTTCTGTATACACGAATTTTGAATTTTAAGAGAAGGAAAGTTTAAATAAGAAAAAAAAAAAGAGAATTGCAAATGGAATGTTCGATCGATCGACTTGGCGATAAGAACTCGAAAGATAAGGAATTCTTCCTATTCGATGGGAACAATTGGAGATTATCGTTTCGACCCCGTTGAGATGAGAGTACGAGCTTTGTTTTACTTATTCGGCAGTGGCAAAACGTGGATAATAGTAACTATTTGTGGAAGGAATTGAGTTACCGAGAAAATTGGATGATAATTTCGTTGTTGCTCTGCTAATTGCGTTGGAGAATAATTGGGTGACGAACGATTGCGCTGGAGAACGATTAAATATTGAACGATCGAGTTAGAAACCGACTGAACAAAGTTGATTGTTGATTTAGAGGATGGTTGAATAATAGAATTGCCGAAATGAAAAGTGACGAGACTAAAAATAGTTTACGATAATTTCTAATCTCGATGATTGGGTAAAAAAGTAATTGAATGCTTTAAAATTGAATCGGGAAGCGAGGAAAACGAAGAATATCCGAGTAACAGAAAGTAATTGAATAATGCATAGAAACTTGAATTAGAAAAATATTTAAATATGGAATAGTCAAGCGTTGTAAGTTTGAGATAAAAAGTAATTGTACGTATATATTGAATAATTTATTATCGAATCGTTATAATATAAAATAATATAAATGAAATAAATGGAACGTGAAATAAATATTCGAGAAGCAAAATATAAATTGTCATCTAATTCCTTTTAAATAAACATTTTTCTTTTCTTCTAAATAATATTTCGAAGCTAAAGCAGATCGAACGCGATCTCAACTGCTTCGTAAAATTTTTTAGACACCATTTGTCGGTGACTCTCGTTGATTAATTAACTTCGTTAACTGATCGACACACTTTTGTGTATCCTTTTGTTTCGAAAATACGATCGAAAGTTTAACCGGAAACGAAAATTCCTTCGGATGATTTACTTCGGTTAATGGAATCCCGGCAGGTGATGTATTATTCAATTACTTCGAGTAAGTTAATTTATAGGTATATGCCCTCTTCACGCATCGCATAGCAAATGTGTCTTCAGTAAATATTTCGTGGCGTGTCTTGGTTTCACCGCCTTCGCGTAAATTCATCCCTTCCACGTCAAAAACATGTCGTTCCATTAACTCCTTCTAATCCATCCTAATCTTTGGTGCCAAGATACGAGAGCAACAAAGTCGCTGATTTTTTGCGTTAATTAAAATACCAGTTTAAATAAGTTGGAGCAAGTTTCTTCATCAGCCAGATTTTAACCGGATTAATAAAAGTTGCGACGTGAGACGACTGATTAATCGAGTTTGTACTTCTTATCGTGCTCCACTGCGTAAACCTTGTTTCGAGGACACTTTATCAACCTCCGTGAGAAATTTGTTATATTAACAACGGATCATTGTTGGAGTTACTCGTGGATGATGAAATTAGAACCAGAACCAAAATTTTACAGTTTAATATTAATTAATTATTGTTCTTGGAATTGTGGAAATTTGATCAATCGTTTAAATTAAATGGAAATTATTTTGTAGAGAATAAGAAAAAGTAATAATGTAGAGATCGTAATATTTTTATTGTTTTAATGAGAAACAACAAATTCTAATTATCAATTGGAATAAATGATAATTTTATCGATTTCTTTCGATTGATAATTAAGAAAATTTGTATTTCTATAGATAAATAATAATCTTCTTATTATCAAGTGTATTGCGATAATTATAAAAATAGTTAAAGAACTTTCTCTAAGATTTATCTAATATTTATTAATTACTGTTTTCATTTTCCAAAAGAGAATACGAACAATTGCATGATCGAATGTCTCGTTAAAGTTTCTCACGTTACAATGAAGACAGAGAACAACAAAAGGCTGTCATAATTATCTAAAAGATATATTAATAGATAATCCACGAAAGAAATGAAACTAAGGAATTTTTGTAGAACAAAATATTCCTTCTTTCGAATCACGTACTCCATTCTCTAAAGTTAAAATATTTCACTTGTCAGATGTATCTTTTATCCTATTACTGTCTTCTGTCTGACTTCCACTCGGAATAAGAAAAATATTCAAATTGTCGTATTATTTCGTACTTCAAATCCTTCTTTATTAAATTCTTACATAAAAACTAAACTTCCAATTATTTATCACATTATTATTACAACTTTCGAAACGATATTATTTTTTAATAATACATTAAGAAATATTAGATTTTCATGAAATAATTGTAAGAATAAAAGTTTCATCACCATTATTTTATATTCTTCAGGTGAAACCATGCGGTGATACCCGAGGAAGCCCATCTCACCACCCGTACATATCAATTCATATCTCTGCCCGATAAACATCGCCAAACATCAATCGACCAATCAAACGAAGCATATCGAAACGCAATGAAGACCCAACGATGATCGAATCGCGGCCAAGGCATATCAGGCGTCGATCAAGCGTGATCGGCCAGACTGTTGAACCCATCCTATCCTAACCCAGAGACCTGTCCATAAACCTTGCACCTCACGGCCGACGACCAATTGAATCAACCTTGGTCCGCCTCTCCTCCATATCCACCGCGTCCAATCAGAAATCAACCGAGAGAAGCAAATAGAAGGAAGGATGTTGCTGAGGTAACGCGACCTCTCGAGCCGGGGTTAAGAATCGATCGTTAAATCGAACCGTGCTCGAACAACGAAGGGTGGATATCAGGTGGCGGATCGCATAGCGGGATCCAGAGTGAAGCATGGGTTTCCCCAGGAGGAGATCCCTGTGGTTGAAGGTGGCCATCCTGGCCACCGCGGTTTGGGCGACCGTGTGCTTCCTCTTGTACACGGAGGACCGTGCCAACGCGGCTGTTCAAGGGCTGGCGCCGTCAGGCGTCGCGGCGCCCCAAATGGCCAACGGTTTCGTGCCCGCAGCCGCGCCTCTTAGAAAAGAGACGCCGTTCAACGCGCAACCAAAGCCAAAGGTGATTCAAGCTGGACCCGAGCAAGGTAATTAATCGTTTGTTTATGCAAAGAGCTCCTCCCCTTTTTGGGAATTTTGCTTCGAGCCGTTTAGCATTGTGGAGAGAGTGAGAAATTTTGATTCAGGTAGGAGGAATTTTTAGGGAGAAAGTTTGATTTCAAAAATTAATCGTGAAGGTGCAATGTGTAGGATGAAAATTATATAATATAATAGGATTTGGGAATCGAGGGGGCAAGAAGTTTTGCAAGTTATTGAAGAAATAACTAGGGGATGTGGAGGTGTTTTATGTTTCTTGGCTGTATTAAGCCAAGATGTGGATCTTAGGGTTGAACACATTTTACGTGACAAGATATTTCGCGTATATTCCTTGGATATATTACACTGACTTATGAAGTTTCGTAATGAAATTGCACATCATATGCAAACAACCTCCAAAAATAAGCTTCAACATTTTTGCATATCTCCAAACTTCATCCTTCAAAGATATCGTATATTTTTACAGGAGATATCCTCCTCATCGTTAACTTATAGTTAGACTCATAAATTGAGGGGGAAAAGAGCAGCATCTTTCCAACTCTCTCGGCGTCAAAGGGGACAAAGAACGGCCGATGTACAAAAGATTGCAACAGGAATTTCGAAAGAGAGCCGAAGGGAGGGCGGGGTGGTTGATACACGAGGGTAGTTTCACCGCGGCAAAGTTCGCAGCTCTAAAGCAATTTGTCGTGCTCTTTATTGCCGCATCGCGCGCACCGGGGCCCACCTCGCTCGACCGGGATAAAATTATTTCCTAGACGAAGCCAAGATGCCTGCTGGAAACCTCTCTCGCCTCCTCCTCCCCTCCTCCTCTGCCGTCTTTACCTATGCCTCGGTGCCAATATGACGCGCGAAAAATAAAAGTCGAATTTATTCTGGAAGGCTCTTAGAAAAGGAGGCCGGGTGGATACATTGTGAAAATTCAATTCGCGTCGTCTTCCTCCGTCGTTTTCCGCCGTCGTTTCTGCAATCCATTCCGCCCTCGTTTGTATTTCCTTCGTTTGCCGCGTCTCTTTATTGCCCTCGCGATAAAGAAATTCGGTTTGGGATCATTTTGTTAGCGGATCGAGAACAAATGAAATAAGTAGAGAGGCATTATGGTTTTTTGGGAGGGAGAAAGGGGAGGAGAAGGAAAATAATTTTGAAGGAATATAATTTGGAAGTAGATCAGTATCGTTTGAATGTTTGACAATGTTTGAAGGATGTTTGTGGAATATTGAAGAAATTTTTCTTACGATTAATTTTATGGAATGACAGATGAAAGTTCTCTTTCTTTTTTTTTTTTTTTTTGAAAGTTTAAAATTTAGAAAGTGGAAGTTATCGAGCATTAAATTTTCTATAATGGCGCGTGTATTATTAATAAGTTCTCTTAAGACAGAACTAAGTGGAACTTCATTATTGAACGTTATGAATCACTGGGTTGTTCATGTAACTCTTTTATGAGTTTAAACTTGGGAGATATATCAGTTGAAGTTGGTGAAGATATATGAAGTTTAGCATTTCAAGAGCTTAAGATTTATGGTATTAAAGATTGATGCCCTTTTATCAGTCAAGAGAAGTTATCCTTGATGTTCAATGTGATTTTGTACATTTAAAGACACATAATGATAATAAAATCATTTCTTTTTAATGAAATAATATTCAAATTTTTAGTGCTAATTATTTAATATTTAGTATATCTTTACAAGAAACATTGCTTTTTTTTAAAGAGAAAAATATGTTTCTGTCATTAATAAGAGATAAAGTTATTTTTGCTGATAATTTATTTTTTTTTTTTTTGCATTTCTTCCTTTTTTTTTTTAGGTGCTGGTGTGCTTGTTGCTCCTCGCGAAGCAGATGCAAGCGCACCTGGCGAGATGGGAAGGCCAGTAATTTTGCCAACGAATTTGACTGCCGAAACTAAAAAACTTGTCGACGATGGATGGCTAAACAACGCGTTCAATCAATACGTTAGCGATCTGATTTCTGTTCATAGAACACTGCCCGACCCTCGTGACCCATGGTAAGTCCAAAATTTTCTGCATGATTTTTCTCCCAATAATTTTTAAATCATTATCTTTTCTACGTGTATATTCTTTTTTTTTTTAATTTAATACTACGAATTTATCGAATAAAATAACATAAAAACATGAAAAATTTAAGTATATAAAATTTAAGTACGAAGAACTTGATTTTATGAATTTCCTAATATTTCATAATGTTCTTTTAAAAATAGTTTAATCCACGTTTATATCGTTCAGAGTTGAGTACATCGTAAAAAAGGAATTATTCTGTAAATTTCATGAACCTATAAATATAATACTTCAACTATAAACCGTATTCTGTAATGGTATATAAACTTTGTACTATAAAAATGTAAATACATTTGAGCAATAACATTTTATTTCAATTAGTTGTATTATGTATTAATAGACTTGGAGAAGTTTTAATAATCTTTATTAATTAATTTATTTGTAAGGAAATCAAGTCACAATATCTTTTGCATCTGTTTTTGTATTATTCGTATATATGTATGATAGATATTGAAATGATAATTAATCATATCTAACATTTAAACAATGAAATAATTCAACTGCAAACTTTGAATTGAATTATCGATACAGAATTATCGTTGGATATTTGGAAGATCGATTCTGAGAAATTAAAACAAACACAAAAGTTTCGTTTAAAGCTTATTCATTGAATTACGAGCGATTTAAGTTTACATTTTAGGTGAAGAGAGACAAAGATAGAACGAGACAACTTTATGTTCGTCGCTCCGCCTCGGTGTGGCGCGCGTGTCTCTATCTTCGTCTCATTTCAACCAAGGCAAATTGCTTATAACTTCAATTGCTTAACAAATAAGCTTCAACAATTATTTTTATATTTGTTTTAGAACCGATATTTTAAAGATGTCTCATGAATGTATCAACATTTTTGTAAATATGTAAAAATTATATTCTTTCGCTATTTAATCCTAGATCAATTAACAAAATCATTGATACGGTGTACGGTGTAGATATAACATATAAATTCGCATTTATTTTTCTGTTCGATTCTAATAATTGGATGAGATAAAATTATTTTCGAAACGAAAAGGAAATAATCAGTTGGAATTAATTATTGAATTCTGCACGTACGAAACGAGCCTAATATCCTCTTGTTTCTTGCTCTCATCCTCGTTTCTTTAATAATTCAACGAGCCTTAAAATTATCCCCAAAGGGAGCCCCCACAGAAATTCGTAGACATCGAAAAACACATAATTTACCGCGGACGAATATTGCGAGATTGAACTCGTTCCTTTGTTATTGTTTAATCAAATTATCCTTCCGTACATTTGGCACAAAGATACAGCAAGTAGTCGTATTTCATTGTCGTACAAAGTTCTCCCTCATCCACAGAGGGAATGTGCACGGTCCGAATGAAATACGAAAAGGAGCCTCGAAGGTTTTCCCGGGGTCGGATAACGTGATAAAAGGAAAATATACTACGTGTTCGTGTCGTGTCTTATTCTCGTTTCGATGTTGTACTTGTAGAAAAGGAGAGAAAAAGAGAGGAAGATTACGTCTCCATTACGTTTCGAGTACTAATTGGGACATTATTTCAATTTTTAAATTAATGATTCATTCAGAACATGGAAAATGTGAATTGTGGAATGAGATCGAAACGAAAATATACGATTTGTGAAATTTGGAAGTTGATCATGATTTGAAATTCGATGATCAATTTGTAAAGTAATTTGTGGAATTTTTATCAGAAATATCGAAAATGGTTGTTTTCGTGCATTTTAAATCTACTTGAATGATTAAAATTTATTTTATCACAGAGATAAATTAATTAATCGATGAATTTTTTAAATATAGATAATTTTACAGTGGAGATAAAGTAAAATTTTAAATGTATTAATGGAGAAATCTACGTTAAAAATTTTCAAGATAATATACTTACGTAATTTAAATACATTTTAATTATGTAATATATTACGTTACGATTAAGGTTGAAAGTAAAATCCACTTTAAAGAATTAGAAGTTACGAAATATTTTAATCTATAAAAATGAAATATGTGATCATTTTCAAGGATTAAATTTTACAAACGATAGAACAGAATTATATTACGAGAAATATTATAGCTACCGATATTATAACACAGAGAACATTTCAAAAGCTAATTTTTCTCGGTATTACGTTACAATTAAAAAAGCGTACGATTCACTTCCTAAAGAATTGTAAAATATATTTGAATTTTCATTTCATACGTATGAAATATGCAATCTTTCTTATAAATCAAAATTAAAAATGATAAAAGCATAATACAATTATGAATATCGGTATCACAATACGAAATACCGGTTGTCAAAAGTTAATATCAGTATTATTTTACCAAAAAATATCTGATGAATTATTCCCTTGAAAATTACGAACGGAATATTTGATAATAAATTTTCGTACACACGAAATATATTATTTCTTTCATGAAACAACGTCAAGAACGATAAAAACGATAACATATTAATACATATGATAATAAATATATAATTCCCTTTATTATCAGTATCTTTCCCAAACTCAAACAAAAAACATAATATATATTTTAAAAGTATAATCGATATTCCACAACTGCATAACTACAACTCCTGCAAGAATAATCATCAAAAGCATTCTTAACCGTACATCATCATCTGAAAAAATCCTCAAACCTAATCACAATTGTACAAAAAAAACCTATTCTCCCCCTTCTTTCGAAAAATAATTAATAAATAAACATTCCATATCCAAAAGAAAAAAGAAAAGGAAAAAAAATCACGCCACACCACAAAAGTGTGTTTATCTCGGGCGGATATCGAGGCGTCGATCGATAAACAGGAAGCGTCCGCTCGGCACGTGAGATCCGATGCAACGAACAGGCCGACCCGATGGAACGCCCTATATCGAGATACAGCTTCGACGAAACATCAAAAACGCGATTTATCGCCGTCGAGGTGGATCCGCGCCAACGTCGTCGAGGATCGTTCTTCATAATTCCGCGATAAATCTCCACCCCCGGACGATTTATTTTGCAAAGCAAGGACTGGCCAGCCTTTATCCGAGCGACGATCAGCAACCTGCGGGCCCCGAAATATGTTCACCGGCGATCGTAAATTCCCGGGTAAAAGTCTTTGCCCGCTTGCGCGCAGGCGGCGAATTAACCCCATGAATATTAATTACAATTTACATGATATTAACCGACATTATCAGGACAGCTGGCCAAAGTTCGTGGACGTCCATTGGCTTCAACGTGGGCTTCAAGCTACGCTAAACGCGGTTTAAAGAGGGTTGAACGGCGCGCGCGAGTGGCCTTGCGAACAGGTGGCCTTGATTTACGTGTCGCGTTAAATGGGACCGATCGAGGATCGAGGCTAATGGTTTTGGGTCGATTAGAGGCCGAGATGGAGGACGATTTTATTCGAGTGGAGTTTTGGGAAGTGGTGGAGAGACTTTTGGGAAGGATGGTAAACGGGATGATTGGAGGATGTTTGTTGGAATTAAAGAATGCAAGGTGATGATGGTTGTTGAATTGGATGATATTTGAAGAATTGAAAATTTGAGAATTTGACAGTTGAATTCGAAGGTTCAGAAATTGCGATGAATAAATTTATAATAAATCAAATTTTTGTGAAAAGGGAAACATTTAATGTTTCCAATTAAATTTGAAGCTTAGGAAGTTAAGCTTATTATTTTGTTATTGAAAATTTAAATTATAAAGAGAAGAAATTTTAAAAGTATGAACGCTTGGTGGAATGATTTAGAAATTCTTAAATAATCATGCAAAAAGTAAAACACTTCTTTACAGTTACTTTTCCATGAAATGTATTCAACTTTGACCTGTATTAATCAGTAAATTTACCTCAAAAGCTTCCGTTTTCACGGTCCTGTGATTCGTGAATATTCAATCATCTGATTTCCGACATATTCATTAAATGGAGGAAGAGAAAGTTTATCTGTAACAGATCTCGTTTAATTGATTTCACGACTCAAAGACGATTCCCCGACGATTCGTCATTGTGTTTAATCATTCCTTCTCAAGGAATTCCCTCAATTATGCAACGGAAACTTCTTCGTAAATAAAATGAGGTGAAAAATGTAAACGAAATGTACTGCGACAAAATAAAATCGATACGAGCAATTCTTCATCCCTATTTACCTAAATTCGAACTTTCTATTTAATCGAGAAAATAAATACTTGAAAAAACATTTTTATCGAGTACCAAATAATAAATTTTTAATTAAAAACATAATTTCTTGTTCATTTCTACTAATGATTGCAATTTGAAATTAATTTCAAATTAACTTCAAAAATTTAATAAATTTTCACGTTTCAATAAAAAAATTCAATGACATAATTTCATGAATAATTAATCAATAAATCAAAGAATCATCGTGGCAGAGAACATAAAACAACAGTCTCAAAATTTCCATTACAAACGTCGTACGCACAAATCCCTGTCAACAATATTTCTACGAAACTGTTTTTCCGAAAAAGAATCGGAGAAATTCGGCGCCGAATCAAAATGAAAAACACAACGGTAAAACTGCGAAACAACGTATCTTAGTTAATTACGTGACATCTATGCAATCTCGTTTCACGGTCGCGTCTGTTTTGAAATTCAGTATACGTTTCGATGCGGTGTAGAGCAGACACGAGTTCGTCTGGAAAATTACAAATTTTCGTAACGGTCGTTCCATCTTCTTGTCGAGTTTTCGCTCGACTTTCTTCATTTTTTTCTTTTCTTTCTTTTTTTTTAATTTTCAATTACATTGTGCCAAGTGAACAGTGATTGTGTTCCAGAGAGAAACATAAAATTTTCCGGCAAAGAAAAAAGACCGAATAAATCGTCACGAGAGTGAGTCACGAAATTGAGGTTATGTTCCTACGAAAGACACGAAATATAATTGATATATCGATCGATGCGTAGATTAATGCAAATATTTTGCGAAATGAAGAACAATTTTTTTTTCAGTTTTTAAAGTTGTATCAATTTAT